TGTAGAGCAGAGAGCAGGGGGAGCTGACACGGTGAACCCCTGATGGCCTTTCTGCTGGGTTTTCATGGCAACAGCTCGGTCTTTAATGAGGCACAAGTGAACTGTTAGCAGAATGCTGATTTTTGGGGTCGACATCAGGCCCTGCTCAGTGTCTGTCAGGAAGGTGCTGATGAAATGTACATCCTTAGCTGCTTTTATTTCCCCCCTCTCCCTTTTTTTTTCTATCACCACATGAAATTGCTTTGGCCTTGAAAGTGAAAGAAAATGTGCCATCGATGTTTTTATAGCAACCGTGTGGGTCAGGGTGATGTACATGAGACAAATACTTGAGGGGTTGTTGTGAAAAGCAAAACCTTTAACCTGTTTTCCGAACATATAACTGGCAGACCTTCTGCAAGTACAGTAAATTTATTTGGACGCCATTATACAGTTCTCTACTCTATTGTTCAGAAATGTCTAAAGGTAGAGAAATAGCAATCATAAAGGCAGTGTTTGTGAATCTGAAAAAAAAGACTGCTCCATGTGCCCTTCACGTGTTCCTGTGCATGAATTATTCATGAAGGTGCTGGGCACAGTGGGCGGCAGGAGGCCGAGAGCAGCATTGGCGCCTGGCACAGTAATGATATCGCCCGGGCTCGTCCCAGAGCGCCACTCTCTTGATTGGTGGCCCGACGAGAGTGGCAGAGGTGAGCCATCCCCTGCACCGCCGGGCTACGTCAACGGTTTTCTGGGTTGGAGCCGAGAGGGATGCAAGTTGGCTGGTTGAAATCATCCAGCAGCTCTAAAATGACTCTCGCTACCTTCCAGAACATTGCCGTGTCTCATGTTGTAAATGATTAGCACATTAGCAGCCTAGTGAGCAGACTAACCTGCTGCACCAGACCCCTTGTTAGAGCAGTGAAAAGCATAGCTGAGAGGCCTAATTTATGGCAGCGCTGGCTAATGAGTGGATGCTATGGTGAGAAGGTGAAAGGAAAGAGCTTAGACTTTACACAGCCTAAAGAAGGTTTACATTACGTTTCAGGAGCTGCTACTGGAGAACAGTTGTCTCACTATACTTAATTCAATCGGTTTCTTCTTTTGTGCATATCCAATTAAATATTGGATGTGTACACCAGTCTGCTTTGTTATGGTTAGCATGGGGCAGACAGTCTCTCGCGACTCAGTGAATCATACAGCATCAACTCACTACACTTAAGGACCTGGAGGTTGTTAAGGGACTTGCTGAAGTTCCAACTGAGTATCAGAATTGGGAAGAAAAGGGACTTTGAATGTGGGTTAGGGTTATGGTTGTTGATGTCAGGAGGGGCTGATCTGAGTATTACAGAAACTGCTGATCTACTGGGATTTTCATACACCAAAAAAAGAGAAAATGTCCAATTAGCAGCAGTCGGCTTGATGGAAATGCCCTGTTGATCTCAAAGGTCAGAGGAGAACAGACAGACTTGTTTGTGATAATAGAAATGATTCAGTGGCTCATTACAACCAATGTATACAGAACACCTTGAAGCCTTGATGCAGAACAACAAATAGTGTCTTGCTCGTCTTCTAAGAACACAAAACCGTGGCTTTGGTTCACACAGTCTTGTAACAATTATTCAATAACAGATTTGGAAAAAAGTTGTCCTGTCCAATGAGTTTGATTTCAGCTGCAACATTCAAATTGTCAAATTTCACTACAACCACATAAAAGCATGAATCCACCCTGCGTTGTATCAATGGTTCAGGCTGTAGTCGTTAAGGGCAGATGTATTCCACTGCAGCACTTTAAATATGTCTCTTTTAAGTGGTTTTCCAGTGTTTTGGCAAAATTGTGAACTTTAAAACAATGTAAATTGTAATACTTAAATCAAGCTGGGTAGGAACTCTAAATCTGAAGTATAATTAATTTTATTCGAGGCAGTACAAGCGTATATAATGGCAGCGCTTTTCTCTGTCTGAAGAAACAAGCTTCAGTGAGTTTACATCAGCTGAACAAACATGCCAGACGTTACTGAAGGCAAATGAGTAGATTTATGCTGGGTTCATTTGAGGCCACCATTATGTTTGCTTCTTCTTCGAGTTCTGCTCCTCGTCTTTTTCTCAAGCGAACACCCGGAAACTAAAAATCCCACAAACATCAACACAAGCAAATATTTTGCCCCAGTTTCCCCCCCGCGCCCGCCTCCCTCTCTCCTCAGCATCTTCAGGGTGTTTTAACGCCAGAGCCGGGTTGTCCGAACGATAATTGCTTCTGAAAAGTTGATTTGCGGCTGTAGCAGAGGGGGCAGCTCTCCTTTCAGTGTGGAGCGAGATTAGCAGTGGATCTTCAGGACTTATCACTCGAGGCATTCGGATTAGCGCAACGATGCAGTTCAAAACGGAATCGGTGGTCACCACGGCGTTTTAAAGGAAGCGAGAGAAGCTTAAATCTGCTCAAGCTATTATTAGCAGAAGAGGAGCTAATCAGCTTTTTTTAATGGTAATTACCCTTCATCAGGATTAGACTATTTCATTTTTATTTAGTTCTAAATTAAACATTAAAAACCCTAAAAAAAAAAAATCATTTATTAATTTAACCCTGGAGGTAATACTGCTTATACAACAAATTTAATGTGATTTAATCAAAACTCCATCTCCTTTTGTCAATCGAAATCACACCTTAGTAATTGAGAGGAAAGCTAAATGAGATTGGCTGCTTGATGTGTGTAGTTGGACACATTGGAGGACCCCAGTGGTCCTGTTTTCACTCAATGTATAGATAGTAGGTTTAGCTGGTTGAATGTGATTCCTATTGCAGGTTTAACTTTGATGGACGGTGCATTTCATGACATTAAGGAAGGGCAGAATCTCCATCCAGAAATTTACGCCCCAAAAGGTTAGTTTCTTTACTATTTGGCATCAGTTAATTGTTAAAAAGGAAGCCTGCGTTTTGTAGCCTGCTTCTTTGTCCACATTGTGAATGGACTACAACAAGTTTCCCCTCCCACCCGTTCTACAAAAATATGAAAAAATGTAGATTTCCAAACAATTTTTCCAACCTGCAGTCTAAATTGTGTTTTTCCTATATTCCTTTTTTTTTTTGTCTTTCTTTCTTCTCTCTCTATCTCCATTCCTTCTATCTCTCTGACCAAATGTCTTCTATAAATCCAAAATGAACTGCCAGGTACTGGATTATTAGCTGAAACACAGTGAAGGAAGCCTGAAAGAGATGAATTCCTCAGAGACATTGGTTTCCTTTTGCCAAATGAAACTGAGGTCCTTGTGCATCATTCCAATGGGAATGTTTGGTATTAAGTGGGGTGACCGGACGGGGTGGGATGGATGAGAACATCCAGTCGGTAGACCGGATGAGTTAAGGAATCTGATCCTGCTGCGACAAGTGCAGGCAAGCATGACTTGTGTCAGGGATGCAGCTTAGAGCCAAACTGTGACAAATTGGATGAGAAAATGAAGTTGTCACAGATCCCAGGGGGTCCATTGTGCAAAGCCGGGGTGGGGGGTTACATGATCTGACAGCAGGTCAGACTAACACATAGCGATGATAGGCACCCTAATCTTATCCAATTAAGCAATAAGACCCCATGTATTCTTGTGTTGATGGTGTTAATAACTAGTAGAGAGAAAAACAACAGCAGACTGACTTTAGAAAATGGCCTGCCAATACCAAGCTCAGGTAGGTATTATTACAGGGAATGATCTATCAATAACTTCCCATCTCCTGAGTCCAAAAGACCAGTGTGTTGGCCACATCCCAGCGATAACTCAGCTCCTAATTGACAGCGTCTGCTCTTCCTCCTGGGGCACACAAGGGCCGGCAGAGTCGAATGGAGGAAGGGGAACGGCAGCGAAGCTTGGGAACGGTTGGACGAGAGGCGATGCACAAGAGATCGCCAGTCAACCGGCCTGAAAAGCCAGAGCACCAGAGCTTTCTGCGCTCACCTTGACAGCAATCCGTTTTGAAGCATCCCGGTGCTAACAGGGTGCTAAAAGCCAATCAGACTTGCTGAAAGGGAAGAAAAGGCGAGGCACTCGGACCCCGCTGGCGTCCACTCGTGCGAGCAATTCACCTCTGTCTGACCCACTCAGGCTTTTTAAATAAGCTTTGCACATAGTGAAGAGCACTACAACTTTTTTGTTTGTTTTTTTCTGAAGAGGACATCAGACTTGGACTCATCAAGGTCAAATGAGTAGCAAATTATATTTCTGAAATCTTCCTAGATACAACTCAATAAAATCTGATGTCAGATATCAGCTTGAGCAAAATACTCACAGTAAATCAACAGTAAAGTTATTCTAAAATTATTCTAAAATTTTCTTCTGGTTCCTTACTCCAATGATTAATTTGCGGCTGGAATCAAACAAAGATTGATTTCATTATTTTTGCTCGGCCATCTCTATTTCAGATAAAAAAATAGTCGCTACAGTTTAAATTGAGGAAAAAAAAATGTCTTACCAAAACTAAATCAGCCAAACTGGCTGCAATTGTTACCTTAATTAAGATATTGAGGCTCAGCAGCAGATTGGAGAAAGTCAGAAAACATAATGAAAGTGCATATGCTGATGCAACGTTGGACTGCTTTCACTGGCATCCTGGTTTGGTTTCCGTTCTTCCCTTGAAATATTTGGTGAGAATATAATTAGCGAGCGATGGGCAGGCACACTCATCCAAGCCTGGTATCGACGTGTTCCTCCTGTGTGTTGTTGCGCGCCGTTCTAGCTCTGACAAAACAGTAATTAATATTTTCTCTCCATTGTTGAGCAAGAGAGGATGTTTGAGTAACAGTGCCAAAGAAGGGCATTGCCAAACTCGCCATCTTGCCAGTTTTTTTTTTATTATTATTTTAGCTGAAAGACAAAATTTTTTTTCCATGTGCCAACTGAGTGATGTATTTAAAAAAAAAAAAGACTCTGACTTTGTCTCAAATGTTCTTGAAAGACCACAGTAAAAGTAAGAAAAGATGCCCCAATAATTTTTATTTATTTTTTTCTATCTGTTTTTTTGTCACTTTTTGCTCCAGGCTGTGGGGAATGTGGGCAGGACCAGCAAAGAACCGCTACAGTCAGATGGTGTATGAGAACGGAGAGCCGTGCTGGCAAGGAGGATCTCGCACTACCTCTGTAAGTAAAGATCAACATGCAGCCCTGGCAAGCACACACACACTCATACCTGTCCACGCAATCAAACTTTACGTGCTGCTTTACTTCTGCTAATGTCAATCCCTGGGACTTTTGGGTCATGCTTCTCATACGCTCTCTTATTTACCTGCTTATTCATTAACCCGGACTAAAACTTTTATCAGATGAAACAATTAAATAGGTCAATAAAGTTCTCAAGATTCGGCTCAAAGATCAGAATGTGATTGAGGGAATCACTTTTGACAAGTTGTTTTTGAACAGGTTGAACAATTTACAGAAAATCATAAGCAGCTCTGGAGTTTATTTGTAATAAACCTGAACTTAAACTTGAGCAATAAAATTACTTTTCACGTCTTAACAAATGAAGCGACAGGCCAATGTGAACATTAAAATAGCTGAGGGAAAATGTATCAATGCCTGAGACGGTTGTATTAATCTAGCTTTTCAAAAGCTGTACCAAAAAACAAAAATCCTACCTAGTTCCTGATATTAAAAATTCACTGGTCAAAAAACAGTTCCACTCTTACGCACACTTCCAAATTGTGCATACAGTGATCTGACCCTTTATCCAGAAAGTGATTATTCCAAATTTCCACCACCCATAAAAGCTTTATCTGCTCTGACTGGTCATTGTGTTTCTCAGTGGACATGTGGATTTTTATTTTATTTCATTTCATTTCATTTTTTGTTTAAAGCATAGCAAGTTACGGTGTTAATATCATCGCGATCAAAAGAGATGAACCAGAAAGCATTTTCCTCAGAACAAAACATAAACCAGGGTCAGATTTTGAATTTACTTTAATGAGGGGAACTGAAAGTGAAGAATCCTGCTTCAACCACAGAGGTGAAAAAAGTTCAGTAATAAATGTTGGAAGGCTAAATCTCCTTTAAGCATGAACACACTTGAATTAACAATGCAAATGGGACATGAACTGCAGGAGATAGCTAAACAGAACACTGACATGAACCCCGTAACAGCACATTAATGAAGGGCAGTTCGGAGATTTCTCTGCTTTCTCCAAGGGTCTTGCTGAAAATCCTACAATTAGCTCTTCATCAACCATTTGAAAGGTTAACATTTTCATGGCCTCCCCAAAATCAGCTTATTTTTTCTAATGTCGAATGATAAAAACAAACCAATTGGCCTCCTATTTGCTCCCAAACATATTTTTTTTATGATCAGTGGTCCTCCGTTTGCATCCTTGACTCATATATCATCTTCATTTTTCCCACAAACACTCTTACAGTCGCTTTCACTATACCCATTTACGTTTTCTTTTTCTTTTTTGGCAGAATTTGCTCAATTAAATATGTAGCACATTTTCTACTCTCTGCTTCTTTCACTGCCTTGCCCCCTCTTCAGATCAGATCCCAGTGAACGTCGTTTGTAAATGTATGTACTCTAACCATCCAGGGGCCCCCCTTTGAAAAGACTAAATTGAATTCCTTTGATACGACCCCCTAACCGTGTGCAGGCAGCATAGATGAAGACTCGTCAGAACTCGACGCTCATTATATCTGAAATGTTGAAAGTTTGCCTTGGATGGTGCTCCCTCTCTCTCACTCGGATGAAATAACACTTTCTTTTTTTGCACCTAAGTGGGGACCAGTGATGTATTGTTTTACTTGGGGTAATCCAAATTCAAGCACTGTGCAGTTAATCTCACCAGGTCTGTGGGGAAGGAGGGAAGTCGACTGTTTAATTTATTAATTAAATTCTCAGGCCAGGGCCGTAACATGCCAGCAACTGACTACAACCGCTGCAGATTGGCAAACAGCTGCTCTCACTGTGTGATAAATTGGGCCGGCGTACGTTTGTTCTTGTCGCTCATTATATCCTAAATAATTTATAGAGACGTCCTTGTGTCAAAAAAAAAAAAAAAAATCAGATGACTGTATTCAAAAGAAGTAGCTGGTTGCTTTTCTTTGCCATTTGAAATTCTAACGTATAGATTTGATCAACACAAAGCAAAACTAGCTAACAGGTAATGCATTCTACTCTTCTTAAAATTTTGCATTTTCTAGCTTTCTCCAACAAAATCATACTCCCGACATATATACATAATAATAATTCTACCCTTTAGCTTTAGCATGCTAAAATTAGCATGCTAAAGCTAAAAATTAGCATGCTAAAGCTAAAAATGTGCATGCTAAAGCTTTAGCATGCTAAAATTAGCATGCTAAAGCTACAGTTAGTTCTGTTGTACTGAAATTTAGTTTAAGTTTAGATTAAATCTGTGACTATGCAAGATCCCCTCTAAAAATGCTTGGAAATATTTTATTGGTTTAATAGTTCAAACAACGATTGTACCTCAGTAAGCATTAATATGTAGCTGTGGAAACTGCCGCAGAAGCTAACATCCGCAATCTTTGTTTTGCGCTTGGGGATTCAGCCAATCAGCGGCAAAGAAAACCAATGCCACTCTAGATATGCTTTTCTACGCTTAGCCTGGAGTCACGTTCCACAGAGAAATACTGAAACATGATAAAGCTGGAGTTCACTGGTTTCATCTCATCAACTTCTAGCTAATCTAACATCTGTTGATGTACCATATATAAACCAAATGGTCATGTGACTACTTTATAAAACAGAGAAAAAGTTTTTATTCTCTTTTAACTATGTGAAAAATTATGACAATTATTTCCAATATCAACACCGATCAAATAAATTAGGAAGGTGCAGGTTTGTTCCTTCCTGATTAAATTCTGTTTTTTAAATCAGATAATTAAGAAGGGTAGATTCACTAAAGCGCTTTTTTTGCTTACTCTGGTAACATATTTTACTACTGCACTGTTGAAATCAATATTAAGACACTTCTCAGTCAAAAGATAACCGCTTTTCAAAACGTCACATTCAGAAAACTAGGAGGAAAACCTACATTTTAATTACCGATCTTGAGATTATTCCTGATTTATTGCACAACTATGTTCCTTTTTCAGACAAGTTATGATGATTTCAGTATTGACCTAAATCATCATCATCATCAGGATTTTTACTCTTGATGGAGCTGCGTAGGGCAAGGCTCAATACTCTTCTACATATAAATCCTTATGAATCATAGTGACAACGGAGCAGCTCACAGATGTTTGTTAGTCAAACCATATGTTTTGAATCTACGTTTTTGTTATGTTTTTATGTTCGATTGCTTATGACAAGTAAAGCAAACAGTGGAACTATAACGGATGTTTTTCCCCGAAAAAAACTTAATTTGAATGTTGTTTCGTATGTCTGAGTCAGACCTCACATAAATTATGCACACAAGAAAGCATTTCGTCTAACCAGGCAGAACAAAAACATTTAACATTTCTGTTGAACTTGATACCAGGTGACATAAAGGAAAAAAAAGTTTTTAGTTTTTATCCAGGAATTGAACAAAACTGAACCACCAGCACGGCGATATCTGTCTGCTTCTTGCCTCGCATGATTGTTGTTAAACAAAGGGAACTGTGCTGAAGATTCAGGATGATATGAGGGCTCCCTAAACAAACGGTAAAAAATAATGTAAGTCATTCTTTGCTGTCTTGTGAAAGAGGTGAAACCGTTAGACCCGTGGCGACTGTTATCGCGTCGTTTCCAGATCTGTTTGCTTGTGGGAAGACAGCGGTGATATTCCATTATCCCACAGCGTCCCCAAAGTACAGAGACAGCAGGAAGACGCACTCGTGTTGGTTGCAGGCACTGGAACTGCCAACATGCACTGTGAATATGTGAAATGCCCTGAAAGTCTTATTTGTTTCCACTTTTTCCAAGCTGCATCTTCAGTCGGCTCACTTTGTGCGTTAAAACCGTTAAAAGGCTCCCGACTCGAGGAACAGCAGCTCTCGTCCCCACTTCACCTCGGATTCTCCTCCTCTGTGCTTTTCTAGGTCACTCTGACATGCGGAACCGAGACAGCCCTGCGATCGGTGAAGGAACCCAGCAAATGCCAGTACATCATGGACTTTGAGACTCCGGTGGCCTGTCAGCCGGTGCTGAAGCAGAGGGGCGTGCACAGCGAACTGTGACCTCCCCTTCCCTTTGCCGCCTTAGCCTGGAATAACTTGGACCCCTGCCCTTGTTGGCTTGCCCACAGTGACAGGCCGGGGTCCTGAGGGTCCTCTGACATCTGTGTTGTCAGAACGTATATACTTCCATGCAAGTTTGACTGAGGTCAGAAAGTATTTTTTGTAACGATGTTCCATGAACACTTTCTGTGGTTTGCATAGACTGTTACTTTGCTACTTTATATCCATTCTGTTCTTCCATATAGCGATTACTGATGCATTTCTTAGACAGGAACGCTTGTGAAATAGCTTGGTTTCATTACAAAACAGAGCAATATTACAATAAATGATTTCATGAGGTCAGGCCACTTAGGTTACTATTGTTGCAAATATAACCGCTACTTTCGATGGGGGCTTTGTCACTCTTCTCGATTGTAGAGTTCGCTTTATTATAGCCTTTACTTAATATCAGAAGAAGAAATATATCGTCATACATGTAGAAATAAAAAAGTTATATTTAAAAAGACCAAAAACATTAAAAAAGTGTGATAAAGAGCAGACAGATTGACAATGTCAAGAGTTCAGTTTTTCTTCCCCCCACCCCCGACTGAAATTTGTCGAATTTCCAGTCACTTTTAGTCAGTTTTAAAGGTTCAATGCCAAAGTTTCTGTTGAATTAAATGGGATGGCTGAATTGTCTTCAGAGGATCAAATATGTAGATGTGAGCCTCTTACTGTTACATATTTACATGTTAAACGGGCTGAAGGCTGAGATCCAGCAGGGAAGGTCAGAAAGTATTTAGGAACGCACAAAATCTTCTCAGTATGTCCATCAGATGGTAAAGTGTTGAAGTACGTTCTACTTACACTTGAGTGATCACATTTTTCTAACTGTATATAATAGAAAGTGATTAAATTACACATAACTGCTGTATTAAAGTTTTATTTCTGAATGCTTTTGTCCTTTTTCCATCTAATTTAAATAATTTCAAAGGCAGTTTTGAGTAGTTTACTTGTAAAAATGTACGTTTTCTGGAAATGTTACTTGACTGGTAGGCTCATTGTCCTGACTCCAGTCCAACTAAACACTTTTAGCATAAGTTAGAGCAAAGCCTGTGAGGCAGAGCAACTCATCCAACTCTGACTGAGTTCACATGAGGTTCCTACAAAAATGGTCAAAGGTTTGTGGAGCCACTCGCCTTTGGGGAAGCGTTCCTCAGAGAGCTGAACGTGTTATGGGTCAAGGCAGGCGTTGGACATGTTGACTTCTGGGTTTCCCAAATGGACCTTTCACCTCTGCATCCAAATATTGGATCAATGGAAGAGAATTGGTCACCAGCGGTGAATAAATTCTGAGTAATCTGGCATCTAAACCTTAGATGATTGTTTTTGAGAGTATTATCACATTGTACTCTTTTTCCTGTTTTAAATAAATAACTAATCCCCGCATTATTGCACTGCTTTGATGGGGAGTTTGCTTAGATAAGGGGTAGGAAAACCTTGGTTTTAATTTTGCACTATCGCTAAAATTTTGATTTATGTAAAGACACAACTTTGAGATGCTTGATCATTTTAGTTATTTAATTTGTTTCATCCATATTTTTGTCCATCCACTTTTCTCACTGCATTGTTTGGATGTTATGATGTCACAGAGTAGCCATACAAAGTCCAAAGATAAACTTTAAAAGACCTTCAAAAAAATTGGAAAAACTATTTATCAAGACCATTTCAAAAAAGAAAAATCTTTAGATTAGTTGGAAAATTAAAGCAATGAGAGGTTGCAGTTTCCTGCTACGTTCATATGCAATCTTTAAAGTCTTCTGCAATATTTGCGAACCTTCAGTTCTTATTCTATGCTGAATTTAAGAGCTATTGATTTTCCAACATCTTTGCAGGCCATGCAGTCTGCCTCTTCCCCGGCCTGCTGTCTGTGATGTTATGTAACAGATTGTAGGGGTTTCTGCAGCAGAGCCCTCTGCTCATTAAGGGGGAGCTAAATCAGCTGTCAGGTTTCCAATAGTCTGCCTGATATATTCCTGGCCTGCTGGGGCAGCTGGGTGGCTGTTTGCCTGCTAGCAATGCAATAGCCCGAGGCCCTGCAGCTCAGGAACTGCTGCTTTTTATTTATCTGGCCTCCGTTCTCATCCACATGCTCTGTTTGATCGCGAGCCTAACCATTAGCCTTCACCTTCGATTTTCCAGAATAATAATGGCCCGTTTTGTTCGGGGAGCTGGCCAAATTGTATTTACCACTTTAATCCCGAAGCTTTCAAAAATGATATTGAGTTATGCAGAAAATGCAAAAGATGGTGAAGGGATCAGAGTTCAAAGGTAAAGTGGAACAAAGGAACAAACTGTGGAAATTATACAAAATCTTTTCAATTATAATCATGGATAATATGTTGTGATTTGCAGTTTTAAAAAAAAAGTAACTGGGAATAAATGTTTTAATCTCTGTACAAAGCAGCACTTCAGCTAAAGAGCATGAAAACATAAAAACGCTGAAACATTGCTGTTCACTTTGGGTCAGACTATAGAAAGGGCTTATGGGGGCCTCAAATTTTAGGATGTTTCTGTAATGAATGAATGTTTTCAAGCATTGCACCTCATATAAAACTCAAAGGTTCTTTAATATGTGGAGTGGAGTTCTAACATTTTTCCATGATTATTAATGAAGACAATGCTAAAATTTTGAAGTTATTTTACATCTTTATGGCACCAACATGGAGCACAATACACCACCTGGGTTGGGGGGAGGTTTGGAATTCGGGTTGGGGTTAAAATGAGGGCTGAAAACTGGATTGGAACGAGGGTTAGATTGGGAACCCTTACATTCAAAACATAATCCTATTAAATTGTCCCAATTAAAGTTCCTAAACTAATCCTTGTTTAGTCAAACATCAAAGTTTATGCTTCCACATTAACTTTGATTGAGTTTGAGTGTTTTTGCCCAACACAGGCAAATTTTCAGTTTCTATCTAAGATTCAGATTTTGATTTTTGAAACGTTTTGAATACGTCTCCCACTGTTTCCAGTTCACGATTGTGTCCTAATAATTTAGCTGTTTATAACACAGCTGCAAATCCTCCTAATCTGCCAGACTGCCTCTATCCTGGCGCTCTGCCACATAATGACATGTGGCTGTTTCTTTTGAAGAACTTTGAGTTTGCTTAAAACCCACAAAGAAACCGATTCGACAGTCTGCAGGACATTAACAGCTCCTCACTTTACCGACTGATCATCATGTGTTAAATGAGTTCTGTGCTTCACCCCACACACAGCGTGGGTGGAAAAATTAGTTTTAGATGGACAGTTATTAAAAACCCACATTAACCCTGTATGATTCTGCAGTGTGTGGATTTTTATTTATTTATTTTTTTCTAACTCCAGTGATGTGCGGCTCTCGATCAAAAAGAAAGAAAAAAAAAAGAGAAGGAGGGAGCGGTGGGAAGCTATCAGCAGGAAAACCAAACACACACGCTCCCCAGCAGATTTTTACACACCTCCATTCAGCACATTAGCACATGAAGGGGCAGGGATGGAAAGTCGTTCCAGTTGAGCGTGGGTGTATTTGTGTGTTGACTCCAAATTGCTAAAAGGGCCCAGAGGCTTTCGATTGCATTAAATCTCAGAGTCAGCTTTGGAGAAACTAGTTCAAGGTACCTGTCCTCTAGAGTGGGAGACAGCAGGGCCTTCGTCTGACTGACTGGTTGACTGACGCCCACCACAGCCCGGCGCCAGTTTCGCTCTTTTGGAGATTGTTTTATAAGCCAGCTCCTTTTAAAGGGAGGCCAGTTGTGGCCTCAGGCCTCGGGGCGGGGAGAGAGAAAGCCTGGCGCTGAGTTGGCAAGACGCAGACTCATCTGACTTCCTCTTGTCTCCACTTTATTCCGATTAGTCACAATGGAGACACTTCAGTCCCAAAACATTTAACAGTTCGTTTTTCTAAACAGCACTAAGTTCATCATAAATTGTACATTTTCATCCTACTGCTGATAAGTTGAATGCAAAATTGTTTGACTATGTCTTGACTTAATAGTCAAGGATGCCCCAGTCCTTACCATGACATGTAATAATATAACATTCGCAATCATTAAATCAATCAAATTGATTGAAACACAATTAATTAAGTGACTAGATGTTTTACAATGCCCTCCACAATGGGCATTTTAAAGGTCTTTATTTGAAAGTGCTCAGACAGGAAAGTAGGTAATCAGAGTGAGAGAAAACATGTGGCAAAGGTCACCAGGCTGGGATTTGAACCTGCAACCACCACATCAAAGACTAAGGACTCCTTATGTGGGTTGTGCTTAACCTCTCTGCTACCAGAGCACCCTGTTTTTTGGCAATATCTTTACTTAATACATGACAAAAGGGTGGAGTCTGTTGGGTAAGTTTGTGTAAATTACCACAGGATCTGGAAAAGACCAAATCACTTAAAACCCTGAAAGTATCCGTGTCATTTCTTTTCATGACTCGTGTGATTCCATCCGGTCGCAGGCAGTTCAATTTGGTCTAATTATTTCTCACAGCATGCAGTTCAATTCAATCAAATTACTTTAAATCAATTTGAAATCCAAATGCAGTCAAAAATTGTTCTAAAAACAGAATCCCATTCAGTCCGGTTAATCTGCTTTGCATGCAGTAAACTTAGTCCAATTAAACTTAGTCAAATTAATGTCTCCAACTAACAGTCTTATTTGGTTATATTAATATTGATTGCATGCATGCCAGTTAATTACATTGACACAGGGTTTATTTCTGCCCAGTTATGGTTAAATTAAATGTAATATCTCCAGATTCATTGGTTGCATTAGCTATAATAAAGTGGGAATAAAACAAGAGTTGTCTAGCAGGGAAGCAAACAGAGTCAACTCTGCAAGAATCCATTCAGAAATGGCATTTTCAATCATCTTAATCGGACCAAACAGTTGAAACCTGCATTTGGATTGAGCTTAAACCAGCAGTGTGTATACTTCAGCATCATGTGCGTCACATTTGACTTTATTCAGCACACTGACATTGTGTTGGGGAGGGGGGGGTGAGAGAGAAAAATCCTAGATACAGATGAACAAAGACTAATATTGACAGAAAGATGGGGGAGGATTAGAAAGACACTCAGACAAGTAAACACCAACAAAGACGGCAGTGCGCAACGACGCTCAAGGGAAAACTGCTCTTTGAGAGGAGGAGAGAGACGGAGGAGAAAACAGTGATGGGAGGAGCAGGCAAAGAGAGAGAAATGCGAAACTGTGAAAGGAGAGGAGGGGTTCGAGGCAGCACTGCCAGTCTGGTAAAGGGTGTTTCTGTATTTGTGCTGTCGTGTCGGCGAACGAGGCTCAACACTTCCCCTGTGGAGTGGATGAGTGTAAGCGTGCCGCGGTTGGAGGCTGGGAGGCCGAGCTGTGATAGCATGTGGTTCGCAGGAGCCTCCTGCAGTTGGCTTCTTTATAGCGAAGGAGGCTTGTGGAGAGGGCGATCAGGGCTATGGACGCCGGCGGCTACGCGGGGGTCTTTCCTTTACTACGTTTTAGAGAGAGCAAAGAATTTCAAAGTGATGCGAAGGCAGTCAAGGACATTTAATGCAAAGTGAAGGATGCAGGCGTCTCCGGCAGGTTGTGGCAGAAAATCTGAAAAATCAGCCAATGAAGCTAGAAAAAATAAAAAAACATGACCGTAAAATACGTATAAGTATTTTTAAACTGCACCGGGAAAACACAATTTTCTTGATTGACACAAAAGGTAAGTAAAATAAAAAAAAATAAAAATAGCTATCGGAAAGAGAACATATGGTTCATTCTTGGGAACGTTTTTCCAGATGTTTGAAGGTGCTGCATTCATCTACAACAAGTAACAAGGACTGTCCAACCGTCACACCGCTTACGAAGGATCACATCGATTAACGTACTTTAGTCCAAAATGTGCAGATTGACCCCAAAGCAAAAACCAAACA